CAAGTGGCCCAACTTGTGCTTTTGTGTTCAGACGAAGAGAGTGAAATGTGGGGCCCATGAAAAGCCACAGGACATTGCCACTTGTACTGGCGGGTTTGTCTTCGTGTGGTTGCGATCGTGCCACGTGGATAAATGTAACTATCCATCACACGAAAAACGAGGTGTGAAGAGACAGAACGTGGCACATGTGGATTGGAGGGTGCGTGGGAACATATGATGGGAGGTTGAGATTCTGTGTCGATTTATGGCCTTTTCATGTTTTCCAAAAGTCAAAATTACAAAATCATGATTGTTATCATCATCACCATTAATTGGTTTGCTATCTCCTTAGCCGTAGTCAGAATCCACAGATTTTTTTGGATTACGTCTCACATCATAACATCATCATGTGTGAAGATTGCCGCAATAATAATATAGACCACTAAAACATCACCACTAACATTACCATTAATGATGTGACAAGCTTAAAAAAAATAAAATAAAAATTAAGACACAAAACACATGTGGCAGTGGGTATCCCTAGTGCAACCACTAATTAGTAGTCTCCATCATTTTTTTTTTCCTAAAGATAAATTTGGGATTTCAAAACTATTTAGAGAGGTCATCACGTGTTCGTTTGAAAAGTATGGGTTTGAGATTTTTTAGCCTTCGTTTGGAAAGGGCATTGATTTTTTGATTTTTTTGATTATTTTAATTTAGGTTAAAAAATTTAATTTGGAATTTTTTTTTTGATTTTTTTAATTTTTTTTTGTGAAAAAATAGTGTAATGATTATAAATTGGATGTGATATTTTATTTGGTATGAGTAAAATAGCCCATTTTATTTTTTGTGGCGATTTTAGCTCCAAAACCACTTGCCAAACACCATCTTAGTTAAAATAATTATAAAAAATAAAATAATTTTTTTAATTTAATAAAATAAAATATTACATTTAACTCATAATTATTATATTTTTTCTTTAAAAAAAATTTAAAAAGTCAAAAAATTCTTTTCAAACGAGACTTTTTAACCTCAAATTAAAATAGCTAAAAAGTCAACTCACTTCTCAAACAAAACTTCGATAACATCATAAATAAGTTAATTTATTAAAAAATAAAATAATTTTTTTAATTTAATAAAATAAAATATTACATTTAACTCATAATTATTATATTTTTTCTTTACAAAAAATTTAAAAAGTCAAAAAATTCTTTTCAAACGAGACTTTTTAACCTCAAGTTAAAATAGCTAAAAAGTCAACTCACTTCTCAAACAAAACTTCGATAACATCATAAATAAGTTAATTTATTGTCATTGACTCATTTGGTTTATATTATCTTTTCTTAATAAGTAAAAAATTTAATTTATAAATCATATCTAAAACAATAAATATATGAATTGAACATTTGAACTTTAACATGAGTAATATATTCATTGACTTATTTCGATGGCCTCTTAATAGATAATTGTTGAGATGTTGCCTTCATTCATAAATAGTTGAAATATAAACAAAGGATTTTTTTACAAATTGATTTTTTTAGTATTTTTAAAATTTATTTTTTGATGAAAACACATACAAAAAGAAAAAGAAAAAATTGAGAGAAAAGTTGACTTTTTTTTGGCTTGTATATTTTTGGCTAAAATAACGAGCTTCCAAAATAAGCCTAAGCGATTGTAATATATAAAAATTACTACGGTTGTAAAGTATGTCTAAGTTAGTTATTTGAGTCATATAATCTTTTTATTTTTTTGTATATTTTTTTGTAAAAAATTAAAAATAACACTTATTTAGATTATTCCAAATAAAACTTAATTCAATTGTTTAGAATTTTCACATATCACTAAGAGTTTAAGGATTCTCTCACTAATAAGTATAACTCTTCAAAATTATTTCGTAAACAAGAGAGTTGGTTTTTCCACAATGTCATTTTCTTGGTGTAACAAATTCTACAAATAATTATAAATTATTTTTGTCAATCTTGGTGGAATGGGTACCCTATTTTTATTCCTAGCGTTATTTATTTATGATTTTTTATTTAACTTCGATGAATTAAATAACTTAATTAATTTAAAAAAAATCTCAAAATGGGAGAAAATTCTAAATAAATACATAAGAACAAGATTCATATTTTTGACTTCTTAATAAAATAAAATAAAAACCATTTTCATTTTGTTCCTAGTGTTTGTTTCCTCTTGGTTCATGTGACCTTCGTTATGACATTTCCTAGTATCTCAAAGAACAAGAATTCGTATGATATCCTTGAGTCCCCATCGGAATGTTTGACCCTAAAAAATTCTTATTGCCAACAAGAAGTTGTCTCGTAGGCGTAAGCCAAACCTACTAGACAACCTTTGTAAATCTATAAATTATTTAATATCGTGTGTTGTATTGCAACGCATAACATTTCAACCATTGATTAATATACGATCTAGAAAGGGGGAAAAAAATAAAAATGAATGGGAGTCATGTCAATTAATTGTTGAAATCTAATATGAAATATGGCCCACAACTTCTCATATAGAATCTGCTTAACATGTAATTAAAAATAAAAGTCATCAACATAATTCCAACTATGTAGGGTCACAAAACATCTTTCTCATTAATGAAAAGTAGCAAGCAAAAGTTAATTTTGCTTCCTCAATTTTATCATTAGCTTAACCACTGACCGCACTACGCATATCGTCACTATTGAAGAAGCAAAACTTGTAAAAGTGTCTTATATAAACTGATATGACATTTATCATATGCTAACATATCACTTGAGAGGTTGTATGAAAAATTTATTTATATAATATTCTTCTAATCAATGTAAAAAAGTTATTATATGTCGGTAAAACACTACTCGGTAGAGCCGCAAAGTGAATATGGCTGATTTTTATAAGTGAGATTTTTATCGGATAAAATTCTCTTGGATTGGAGAGATTAGTTTGGCCCATTTAGCCTACTACGTAACTTGTTTTGATAATTTATTTCATTTCATTTTTTAGTTTATAATGTATAGCTTATTCATGAAAAAATTAAATTGATCCAATAAACATAGCCATATGATTTTATCATCTTTATCTTTAAAAAAATAAATAACACGTATAATTTTAAAAATAGCGTATTTATTTTTTTGAACATTGAGATAGTAAAATTTTGTCGTTACGATTATCGAATTAATCTATTTTAAAGAACGATCTATACTGACTTAAAAAATAAAAAAATAAATTATTGAAATGAGACTTGTAGCAACCTCAAAACATCACCCTAATTTTTTCCCCCCACTTATGACATGAGCCTTTTGGTTATCTTTTAACTGGTTTGACCCGTTTGGTTTTCTTTTAACTGGTTTGTCTTGTTCCTAGATAGTTTGTCTATGACTTGTGCCCTTTTTCTTTTATTTTATTTAAATGTTTTATTGTTTCATGGTAATAAATTTGTATTTTTTTTTAATGGGGATGAGTGAGGATTAAAAATGCACTTCTTAGGCCTTTTGGCTTTGCTACATCTAATTTCCAATTATCTAGTTGCATATACACAATTGAATATATATATTTTTTCTGTTCCAAAATATTAGTCTCTTATTTTATTTTTTATCATCTCAAAATATTAGTTTCTTTTAAAAAATTAAGAACTAAATTAACATAAATTTTTATTTTGTTATTCTTTTAAATTCATACATAAAAAGTATAATTATGATAATTAATATTTTTTTTTAAAAAAAGTTAAAGGATAGTTAAAAAAAGTTAAACAGATAGTTTTAAAAAATCAATATTTTAAAAGTGTAATAATTAAACTAATAAAAAAAATTAAGTTCTCTAAATGAAATTAATATTTTTAGACAAGTAGAATATATTTTTACATATTTACCAACGTTAGCATTTTCCTCAACAATTTCGAATGATTTGATATGTTGCAGACTTTTGACATTAATAATTAATGGTTAAATGTAAACTAAATTTATTGTTTGTGATGTGATGGGATAGGTATAAATAATAACAATAATAATAATAACAATAACGGCGCTGCTTGAAGGGCCCGAATTTCGGGGCTGAATGCCCCGAAATTTCCACTTTTAGGTAAAAAAAAAAAAAAAGGAAAAAAGAAAGAAAAAAAGAAAACAGTTTCTAAAAATGGAAATTAGGGGCATTAGGGGCAAATTTTTTAGGGCCACCAATCATTTTCCTAACAATAATACAAAGTCACTCAAGTTGTGTCTGATGACTATCATATTGCATTAAAGATTCGGAGAATTAATTAATAATGAAATAGAAGAAAAAAATTATAAAATATAAAAAATGTAAATGATTTTGTAATGAGAGATAAGTGAAAAGTAGTGAAGGTAGAAATAAAAACTTAACTCTCCATATTTATATAATTTTTTTTTTTCAACTAATAAGTAATTCCTCTTTAAAGATTTTAGAGAGAGAGAATCTGATTGTCCCACTCAATGGTCTTTCAAATCAAGTCCCCAAGTTTTTGGCGTTTTGAAACTTTGCCACAAACACCCATCATCAGATTCACCGCCAACCTAAGGGAGTAGTGGATGAACAGCCTCTGTTGTTGTTTGGTAAGTTGGTTTGTAATTAAAATAGTCACAAAAGACAAAATATACTATTTTGGTCACAACAAATAAAATATCACATCCAATCCATAATCATTACACTTTTCTCTCACAAAAAAAATCAAAAAAGTCAAAAAAATTCTTTCCAAACTAAGCTTTTTACCCAGGTTAAAAAAACCAAAAAGCCAACTCACTCCCCAAACGGAGGCTCTATAATTTGAACATTTTATTTTGTAAAACCTATAAAACAAATTATTTCTCTTAAAAAAAGAAATCAAATATAAATAATTATATAATTGAATCATATTTTAAAAAAAATGGTTTATTCTCCAAATCACTTTAGAGAAATAGAATGTCAATATTGGAAAGGAGAGACTCATTCCACCCGAGGCAAAAATACCATAAGTAGATATGTATTTCGAGTGTGTGATCAAACAACCAAAAATCAAACAACTTTTGTCATAGAGTGATAGATTGATCAACGCCAGAAGAAGTAGAGCAATGATCCACATTATGTATTGACAAGTCTCTCTTTTTAAGGCAAAAAAGAGCAATTTTACATGGATAGCTTTACAAAGTTGAAACAGAATTCAAATTTGACAATGCAGTCCCTAAAAGCCTATGATTAATCCTTCTAGACTAGTATTTACAGGCAATTTTAACAGTTCCTAGTTCACCAAAGAAAAGTTCTCAGGTTCACGATGACCTCGTCAGACCGAGATTATAGAGAAATTTCTCTGATCTAGAACGAAAGAGATTACCAAACGAGAATCTCCCAGTTTGCTGGGGTGGTGAATTTGAGCATCCATCGTCGTCCTTCAAGCTAATTATTGGCAGGCCAATCTCTTTTCGAACTGCCTCAATCGTTTCGCTCTTAACTGGATATCCCGATGTGTCGGTCACATAGAAAACATTCATAGCTTGTGATCCCCTAGTTGTGACCTCTGCCCGGGTGACTGATAGACCGTTCTCTCTAAATATGCGAGTTACATCAGATAGAAGCCCAACCCTGTCTTTGCCACAAAGTTGTAGTCTTATGCCCTGAATTATAGACATTGCAATTATTACGTATAAATCTCATTTGAAAATTTTGTGGAAATCTACATAAATCAATCTCCTTCATGTCTTACCGCAGAAGTTCGCCTCTTAATTGCAGCCTCCAAACAGTGAATTACCCGTTGCCTCTCTGCTTCGGAACTAATTGGGTACCCATCCATATGCCTGATATAGTACTCCTATTGAACAAAGAATAAACACAGCCAACACAATGAGATGATATATACTTCGATTTTGAAAACATTTGCTTCGTCACTAATGTTTTCTCAATAAAGGGGAAAAAGCAAATAGGTCTATAATCTGTCACTGTTTGATTTCGTTTTCAGAATCTGTTTTCCAAAATTTTTCCAAAAAACTCATCATTTTAATATGGCTTTTCTCTTTTTTGGGGAAGTATCTTTTTGTTGTTTATTTTAGCCCCAAAAAGAGAAAACCAATATGAAAAAATCAAAAGAATTTCAAAAAACAGATTCTAAAAACAAAACAAAACAAAACAGAATGGATGCATTCGACCAGAATATAATATCCACATTACTCATTTTAAGTACTCAATTTGCAGTAAACTGAGGCATTTTCTTTTCCTAGAAAGCCAAAATTTCCTTTCACATTGATGTACATAACAACAATAGAAAAAAATTTATGCAACTTCAAGGGCATGGGAATTAGGAAGTACCTGATAAGCCTCAGGTCCTTCTTCAGCAATGACAGTGCCATGGAACACCAGGTACTGCATATCTGTCAACGTACACACCGTGTCAAAGAGTAGCTTGGGCCGGTCAGGACACCTCAAGTTCACGACAGTGTACCCTTTTTCATCACAGTTTTCAACAGTTACAAGGGGCTTGCTTGGATCATTTGTGGACCCACTAAAATCATCAGTATCGTAGTCGCGATCAGCATACATCATTTGATGCAACCTTCTCTCAGTGTGAGTGGAACCCACAGAAACAGCAGTGTTGGCACCTCGCTTATCTCTATCCCCTTTTAGCACGTAAAGAAGAAGTTGCTTGATCTTGGCTAGTCGATCAGGATCATCGATTGGCGATCCATTCAATTCATCCGTGATGTAAACAACTGAAGCCATCCTTGAATTGTGGGTCCAGACTTCTGCAGCTACCACATTACATTTTAGGTCAGTGAGGACTGCGAAAACCTCTGAAAGCAAGCCGGGTCGGTCTCTTCCAGTCAATTCAATGGTGGTGTGTTCCATGGCAGCTTGGACACCAACAGACCTTTTCAAAGACCGGAAGCTTCGTCCCCTTGGTCCCAGTGACTGAAATACAAGTAATGATCAATGTAGCTCCAAAATCACACGGTTCCACAAAGAAGGTTGCAACTTGCAACAACAAAAAACACATTGTTTTTCAGGGCAAAATTAAAAAACACTAGTCATTTCATAGTGTACTATTTATTTGTGCAAAAATAGTTTTTGCAAATTCAAAAAATTCTTTTTAGTGTCTATTTTCACCAAGAAAAATGCTTAGTAGCTCGAATTTGTGTGGCCTAAATAGCTCGAATCAAAATGACGTCATTTTACCTCCAAAACGACGTTGTTTTGAGACATTCAAGCCATTCAGGCTATGAAAATTCGAGCTATCAAGCATTGTTGTTTCACCAAACTAGTTTCTAGTATTTAGAAAACAACTTCTGAAAACGAAACCAAATAGAGAAATTATTTCCTTCTAAACATGCTAGAGTCTTCTTCAATTCACATTATAGAGCCTTCTTCAATTCACATTATAGAGCCTTTATTCTTTTCTTTTCTTTTTTTTATTTTTTTTGGTTTTAAATTACTACTTTACTAGGTCAATTTACAATAAACTTAAAATTCAAGCAGGGATAAAACATAAAAAGCCATTCAAGAATTCACTAGAGCAGCGACGAGAATAACTATAAAAGCTGTAGATTTGATAGTTTCACAGGAATTAAATGAGCATATAACAGAAACAACTAAATCTCTATTAAGGATTGTCTCAGTAACGCAAAATCTCGAGACTGAGGTTTAAGATCAGTTTTTTTACCTCGTTAATCGAAATTAATGTGGCAAATAAATGAGCTTAAATTTGGAGATGTACCTGCTGAATGCGTTCAGTGACATTATCTTCAGAGAGCTTATTCCCATGTTGATCAATAACATGAAACACTGAGATTTAGATCAAAAATAAAAATCAATCTCAATGATACTATAAAAACCAGAGAAAACTTAATGAAAAAATCATTGAAGCAATCAAAGTCTAACCATCCATAAACCACCCTCCATCTGAAGAAATGTAAGCCCTTCTAATTATCAGATTCATATCAGTCAGAACTTGAACAACCTCTAACAAGCTCCCTCTCTTATTTGCACTATCAACCTGTGAAAAATCCCCCCAAAAAAACACATGTTAATACAAAACAATTCTTAGACCATGTTTGTTTGGCGGACATGACCTTTGGAGTACATAATCACACATTTGGCTAAAAAAATTAAGATCTGGACTCTGTACCGATTAAATCTCTTGTCAATTCTTTCTAGTAATCCTGAACAAGCCAAAGCGTCTAGAAGCCATAATCAAATCTAATTCAGTCCACCAAACAAACACGGCCTTAAAACAATCAATTCAAGAAAAACCCAATTGACCAAACAAAAATTCAATTACCTTGATAAGAGTGGCTTTTCTGTCCGAGTCATTATCAACAGTAACCCTACAAGTTTCAAATCAAGAACATCACTCAATTCAGCAGACCCAATTGTCAAAACCACGACAATTTTTTTCAATCTTTAACAAGCAAGAAAACAAAAAGAATTTGCAAAACAGCACAACCCGTTTCGATTTCGACAACAGAGAACAACCCAATTGAAGAAAGACAAGGAAGGTGAGAATTGAAGTAGTACCTTGGTGGGTTCATACGAAGAACAAGTTTCTCAAATTCATCATCGACGGTGAGAGAAGAAGACCAGTAATCCATTTGCAAAACAAACAAGAAATTCGCCACAAAAACAGAGAGAGAGAGAGAGAGAGAGAGAGAGAGAGGTGTGGTATGTGAATCCTCTCTTCTTCTCTCTCTTGTTTTTGGGTCTCTACCAAATGGGTTACAGGTGGTTAACTCGCAAAGTATTTGCTGGCTATAGAGTCGGACCAAGAGTCGTTTTGGAGGGACATAAAAATGAAAACGAAGGGCAGGCCTCGTGGGGTACTATTCAGGCTTGTTGTCGCTGCCGCTCATGTGGACCCCACAAGCCTCTCTCCCTCTCTCCACACTCCCCTACGCCCCCCAAAAACAAATGCCCCACCATTTGGTCTTCCCTTTCTAGGGTTTTCTTTTGTTTTGTGCCATTATGAGTTACGGCGGCTCATAATCATTGCTCTTCTCATAACACTTTTGGTTTAGGAGAAGTTATTTGATAAGCACATAGTTACGTGGTGCTTAGAATGTAAGGTTTATAATTTCATATTAAGTGATTGAAAATAAAAATATAACATATAGTAATTAGTAATAAGTATAAACACGTAACATCACCAGAACACTAAAAAAATTTTCTTGGTTTGGAGTCTATTATGAAAAAAATTATTTTATATAACCAACACATCATGTGATTTAATTGACATGATGTATTTTTCACTAATAACAATAAATTTATTGACACAAAATCAATCACGTAACCATTCTTCTAAAATATCTGGAGTTTGGATCTTTTAGCTTGATTTTTTTTAGAATTATCTTAGAGAAATTTTTTGATTGATTGATTGAAATTGAATTCTACAAAAGTTGAAAGGGTACAAAAGACATACAAAATTTCGATAGTGGATTAGACTTAATATATAAGCGCAATTGTATATTTTATGATGAGTCTTATCATATAATATGTATGGTTGAAATTATTTTACATGATTGGTATTCTATTTGTAGTTTTGTTAATGCTTTAAATGTGAAATTGAGAACGTCATTTTGTGTTTGTTTGGAAATTTTGAGTGTTCGATCACATTAAATTTTAATACTAACTTTTAACATATGATATATAATAAGGAAAGATTATATCACGTCAATTCGACCATATGTATGCCTTATTAGAGCCTATTATTATAAATGTTAATGGAAGTTTTAGGAAAAGATGGGTGTTTATGTATTGGTTCAATGTCATTTCATAATTTATTTATATTATTTACCGAATATATGTGCACGTGCGGCTTTATAAGAGGAATTTTAAAATTAATAATTTAAAACTCACAGACTATGATTAATGTAATTTATGGCAAGAGACTATGATTATTGTAATTTAGAAATTTTTAAGTGATTTTTGGTGAGAGGTAGATTATTGTGATTTGAAGATTTTTAAGACTCCGTTTGGCAAGAGCTAAACGGGATTTTTTTTAGCTATTTTAGTTACAAAAAGACAAAATAGACTTTTTAGTCACAAAAGACAAAATAGACTATTTTAGTCATAAAAAATAAAATATCACATCCAATCTATAATCATTACATTCTTCTCTCACAAAAAAAGTCAAAAAAGTCAAAAAGTCAAAAAGCTCTTCCCAAACCAAACTTGTTTGTAGCCCAGGCTAAAATAGTCAAAAAAGTCAAAAAGCCAAAAAACAACTCACTTCCCAAACGGAGGCTAAGTAGCTTTTGGTGAGAGATTATAATTACCATTACAAAAAATTAAGGTTTTAGATATTAAAATTTAGAGATAAAATTATTTTTTCAAAACTAAATAATTTTTTTTTGCGAAAAGTGCCATTATTATATTTTTAGTAACAAAAATTAGACATTAATAATGAATTATTATTCTTTTAGGACCAAATTTTGTCTCAAAAAATAAATCATTTGCGACCAAATTATTTTGTCCCTAAAAATTTATTTATTAGTGACATCTTCAAAATTTGATCGCTAAAAGTATTGTTTTTTACTTTTCAGAACGATTTTTCAGCGACTATCTTCATGACGATAAAAATTGGTCTCTAAATATCTTTTGTAACAAAATTTTCATTTTTAGAGACCAAAACATTTATTTGAAGACTCTTTTATGTTATAGGGGTGTTTTGGAAAGATTATAAAAAGTGATTTTTTTACTTTTAGGCTTTTGACTTTTTTAGACAAGTGATTTGAGAAGTTGGTAAAAAGTTACTTTTTGATTTTTTTTATTAATATTTATTTATGATGTCAAATCATAATAAAATGATCAAACTATCCTTATTTAATTTAAAATATTTACAACTTCACCTATGCAGCACATTTTAATCAATAAAAAGTAAAATTGTAATTTCACTAATGAGTAAAAACAAACTTTTCAAATATTTTTAAAATAAAAAAAAATTAACTTTTGACTTTTTCTTTAAACTCAAAAAAATAATTAAAGGCTAAGTCCCTAAACCAGACCATAATGTACTGTAATGTAAAATTTTTAAGTGATTTTTAGTGAGAGGCTAGTTGGTGTCGGTCATGGTCAACTGGATCCTTGACTAGCCTGGCTTAACAAAAATGGAAACCTTTATACTGTGTTTAGTTAGGAAATTTAGAGAGGGATTTGAAAAGAGAAAGGGAAAGGGAAAGAAAAAAAGTGTGTGAAAGTAAATGAAATATAGGTATGTTTTATTCATATTTTACTTACTTTTTTCATTTTCATTTTTATTTTCATTTCTAAATCTCTGCTCAAATCCTCCAACCAAACACAGTATTAGGATCTCTCAAAGAATTATTTTAAAAAGATAGTTATAATCAGATTTTTATTAAAAATTAATTATAAACGAATTATAATTGACTTTTATGAGAGAAAAATAAATTATAATCTAAAAGTTAAATTATAATTCACTTGCAAAAAGACTCAAAAATCTCAAGGTTAGATTTCTTGCTAAGCTTTCGGGAGACCTATTGGATTTTAAGGGCACATACAATTCTTAACCTATTCTACTACTACCTATCTTTGCTTTTTAGAAGCATTGCAATGTCTCAAAATCTAAGATTTTGCTTAGCTTCCTTTAGGCATCTTCATGGATTAGGGCACCTACCCTACTCTGCATGTGTGAAGTGGGTCTTACCTATAACATATTATCTTCGGCAATTGCTTTCTTTGAGTCAGAACCTTTTTTTTTTTTTTTTTTTAAATTAATTTAATAAAATAAACACACCAAAAAATATTTTTTTGTTTTTAAAAATTATATTGTTGAGTGGAGATAAGGGACTCTCTCTATCACATATTAGAGTTTATGTAATCTTTCTAGAACATCAAGTGATTATAAACTGATAATGTTTTGTCATTTTCTTAAAAATTCTTATTTTTTTGAGCCTTCGTTTGGGAAGTGGGTTGGCTTTTTGGCTTTTTGGCTTTTTTGGCTATTTTAGCCTGGGCTAAAAAGCTTGGTTTGGGAAGGGCTTTTTGGCTTTTTGGCTTTTTTGGCTTTTTTTGTGAGAGAAGAATGTAATGATTATGGGTTGGATGTGATGTTTTGTTTGTTATGGCTAAAATAGCCTATTTTGTTTTTTGTGGCTAAAATAGCCAAAAAAGCCTAAAAACCATCTTGCCAAACAGAGGCTGAGTAATGTAAATACATATCAATGGATAAACTGTGGAATATATATATAAAAGTTGTAACTAGTTACTATTTACAAATTATTCTTAAGTTATAAATAATATTTTTGTGACCATATTAAAAACAATGGTAAAATTTCTAAAAATCGTAAGTTTCAACTGAATTAAATTCCGTTTTAGGTTTTGATTTGATTTTTAATTCCAAATTTCATAAAACAATAATGATTTGGTCATTGCATTAATTTATACTGCTGAATATGCTTTACCAAATCTTGCAGGATTCTGGTTAAAGCTGAAATGATAGCATTGTCTCTCTATTCGCTTGCATAAGCTTTAAAGGCCAATCTCCAAATTTTGAAATGTAATGCCCATTTTGAGGAATAGGGAATCTCACGCGCTCTAATCTTCAGCCCTATCCATGCATTTTCTTTCAATGAGAAAATGATATACTACTATTTATTACTCTGTTTTCTATTTTCTTTCATGCGTGTATGAAGGAATCAATTAAGGCAATTTAACTATATGCCAAAACTGAGACTCTCATTGGACCAAATCTCTAACTGGGTCATCATCATCATTAGCATCTTATCATTCCATTTCATCACAGTTGGTGCTTGTTTCTTGCATCATTTGCAAGAAATGAGTGGAGGTAATTGATTTCATGGATAACATTGCTTCTTTCTTATTTTTTTGAGTTAATTTTATTCTTACCTCTTAAGTTATTATTATTATTATTTTTAAATAAATTATACTTTTAATCCATGAATTTGATTTAATTATACTTTTTAATAATTTCATATAGTTTAATTAGATGTTCAAATTATTAAAAAATAATAGAAACCTAACCTAGTGAACAAAAAGAATAATTTTATAATTTAGACAATTTAAATCATACAAACCATTCATCCTTTTACTCAAACTATCTATCAGACAACTTATAACCCACAATTAAACACTTATATATTTTTCTCTACTCCTTTCAAAATAAGAAGCAAAAAGAAAAATGAATAATTAGTTATATGATTTGAGTTCTTCAAACTTTGCCTCTCTTGTACACTCTCAATTGAGAGGTCAAGGGGTCAATATTTGTTTAGTTGTTTGTTTATTTTTTATTGTGGGCTATTGGACTTTAATGATACTAAGATCTCGTTTGGGAACCAGCTCATTTAGTCAAAAGTTAAAAAGTTATTAAAAAAATCAAAAAATCAACAACACATATCAAAAAGTCAAAGATTATTTTTTCTTTTTACTTTTTGCACATCTTTTCGTAAAAAGTCAAAAAGTCATCCCAAACATACTAATTTTTTTAAGCTCATATTTTAACCAAATAGCTAAAAAATTACTAAACTAGCATGTTTCCAAACAAGGCCTAATTTGGATAACCATCGCTAATAAGACTATACTTTTCATTGTGGGCTATTGGACTTTAATGATACTAAGGTTTCGTTTGGGAACCAGCTCATTTAGTCAAAAAGTCAATAACTCATACCAAAAAGTCAAAGATTCTCTTTTCTCTTTACTTTTTGCACATCTTTTCGTAAAAAGTCAAAAAGTCATCCCAAACATATTAATTTTTTTTAGCTCATATTTTAGCCAAATAGTCAAAAAATAACTAAACTAACCTATTTCCAAACGAGGCCTAATTTGAATAACCATGGACTATACAATT